AGCTTCACAGAACACTGCAGTTTACCACTGCACTACTGCCCAGCCCCCAGCTGTTTCCTATAGATGAAATTATGTATGTATTCTTCTGTGATTGGCTTCTTTCCCTACGTATACTGTTTCTGGTTTCATCCATGGCATAGTATAGTATCCCTATAGTAGTCATTATTGTGGAAAATCATCTCATTGTATGGATAGTTCACGTTTTTAAGTGTAAATTTTTATTTCTCCTATGAGTGAGAGAGGCAGAGAAAGACAAAGAGAGACTGACCCCCCCCCAAAAGATGCCACGATCCCCAACTTCAGCCATCCCCAGACTGTGGACAAGCATATACCCAGTGTACTCAGAGGAGGTCTCTGGACTTGAACTGGGAATAGGATAGCCTTTCAGAGTGTTGCGTTTTACCTCTTGGCCACCATCTAGGCACTGGATAGATATTTTAAAGGAGAAATGTCAAGGTCCTAGCCAGTCTGTGTCACAGAACTCTGAGAAACTTCACACTGCTGTGATCAAAAGAAGCACGGAAAAGAAATCCTCTGTAAGCGAACACTTTGGCAAGGATCAGGGGCAAAAACTTCTAATGCCTACATCAGTGAGTAAGAAGGGCCAGGCGTCAGGTGACCAAGAGGGTCACAGATGACCCATAGTGTCTAAAAACACCCTGATTCAGAAATGTTTGAAATCACAGTGCTGGCCAAACAGAACTTTCAGGTGGGCTGCTCAGTGGCTCCGCGTTTGTAACCCCTGGCTTGGTACTCTGGAAGACCATGAGTCCAGCTCTAGCTTTGACGTTAAAAATCAGAATGACAAAAAGCATTGGCAAATTGAATTTTCAAAGTCCTGCAGAGAGATAGGTGAGTTCCCAAACAGTAAATCAGCCCTAAATATTACAGGCATAGGGTTTACTATGACAAGTCAGAGAGATAAGACTGATTGCTGATTCTGCTAAGGATTAAAAACAGCTTTACTACATAGCCAAAGGATAGTTTTAGAGTTTCAGATCTCTATCTCTGAGTCAGCCGACAGAAATAGCTAATCCTTTACTTTTACAATCTTTTTTTTAATAATTATTTTATTTTATTCATTGTCTTTTTTTTTTTTTTAAGTTGACCAGAGAGAGGAGGAAAGTGAAAAAGCAAGCAGCCAGGTCCAGGACTCGAACCATGGTCAACCATGTGGGAGTCCAGCTGCCTTAACCCACCACACTGGCTCCTACTTTTACAATCTTTGCAATATATTTTAACTGTAAGGACTGAAATTGTGGATGACAATCTCAGACGACAGGAGAATATGACTTGTTGAACCAGGAGTCCAACAAGCAAAAAATGTTGATCCTTACAAGTTAGAGTTTGGTCTTATAAAACATGGGTTTCTTTCTTCTTTTTTTAAAGAATTATTTATTTCATTTTATTTATTTATTTTTTAATTTGCTATAGGGCACATGCGTTCACCAGAGAAAGCAGAGAGAGAGAGAAAGAGAGAAAAAAAAAAAAGTGTAAAAACAAGCCACTGGGTCCAAGACTCAAACTGTAGTAGGCTACGTGGGAGTCCAGTACCTTAATCGCCATGCCACTTGCAGCCCAAAAACATGAGTTTCTTGACCCCAGGACATTCCAAGGAAACAAATTTGAAGAATCATCTAGCATTTAGCTCTGTGATTCTCAAATTTTGAGTTACAAAATCACCTGGAAGTTTGTTTAATCAGATTCCCAGTCCCCACCTCCAGGAAATTAGCTGCAGCAGCTCTGCAGAGAGGCCCAGGAATCTGTATTTTACCAGGCTGCAAGATAAGTAGTCCACAGGTCACACTTTGACAAACGCCCATCAAGGGAATAGTCTTACAGTCACTTAATCTAGAATAGTAGCTGTCAAATCAGAGTTTAATTTTTACTACTTTCCAAATCGCTGAGCCCGTTAGAGAACCCAACTTACCTAAAATAAAATATCATGTTTCTTTTGTTCAGTCGCTCAACGAGTATTTAAGAATCAGCAGTTCCTGCAGATATGTCTGTAAATAAGACAGATAGGACTCCTTTTCTTCATAGACTTTACATTCTCTTTGGGATTATGGGATAGGATAAGTAATTCTTTTCTCCATTCAGAGAAACCTTGTTAAGGTAGAAACACAGAAGTTCTAAGGATTGAGAGGAATCCTTTAAGATAGCCACCAGTCAAGAATGTCCACTGTATCCCGGCTGAACATTTATCCAGCCAATGAGTATTTACATACTTCTAGGGAAAAGTTATTCACTATAAGATGAATGAGGCCATTCAGTTCTTAGATGTTAAATTGTCCTTACCTGAAACATCTGCCTTTGCCTAATTTTATTATACTTTATAAGACTTGCAAAATAAAAACAAATCCATGCTTTTTCCCACAGAAAGTCATTAGAAAGAATATTTAAAAACAGTTTTTACCATTCTGTGCAGTATTCTCTGCAGGGTAAAGAGAGCCTCAAGCTCTAATTTTAGGTCTCCACCCTACTCTACTTACTATCTACTCTGGGTATATTTTATCTTGTATCTTATTTAGAAACACAAAGGTGGGATCCAGTCTGCCATTCATGTGTTTCTGTATTAACCCACAGGCCAGCCATTGTTTTGCTGCTTCTCTCTGGATGTTACCTTTCTGTCAACACTGCTGAGCTACTGACCAAGGGCATAAGTGCAGCAGACTCTGATTTCATAGGGGTATTCATGAACAAATCATCTTTGCTTATCTTCATTTAGCTAATGAATGCTAGCTACCAACAAATTCCTTTTTGAAACTCTTTTATTAAGGTGATAATACTGCCGGGGCTAGCAGTTACCACATGGCTGGCCACAGTTCAAGTCCTGAACTGGGCAGCTTGAAATTTATGCTGGGTGCATGTGCATGCCCAAAATCCCAGGAGGAGAAAAGATAGCAACATGGCCATCCTCCGGGGCGGGTGTGTGTGTGTGGGAGTGATCTCTCACTTTCCCTCTCACTATTTCTCTCTCTTTCTCTCTCTCTCTCTCTCAAACACACGTGCCCTATAGCAAAAACTTTAACGTTTTTAAAAAAAGATACTGCCAACTTCCAAACTTCTGAGTTTTTTTCATTTCTAATTATATTCTCTTTTGCTCTTTTGAGTCTCCCTTCTCATTTCTTACACTAATATGCTCTCCTATGTACAGAGTACAGAAGCTAATGGCCATTCTTGGCTCAGTTTTACTTCAGAACAGATTTGTCAATGTCACAGAGTCAAAAAGCAGGAGAGAACATCAAGTTTGGCCTCCTCACTTTTCAAATCATTTCCTCCCACAAGGATCTTTGCCCCCTTCACCTTGCCTGTGCCTCTTTTACTTAATCTCATGACTTTCTCAGACCTCTGAGTCCACCTCATCCATTTCCTACAGTGACCTGTAGCATGTGTTTCCTGCCAGGGCCACAGTCATAAACAACTCCTGGTAGATTCAGGAACAACTCAGAGAGGAACCGGAAATGCTCTCTCTAATAACTCTCCAAAGCAAGGTTCCTGACCCATAGCTTAGTAGTGGGAACACCCTATGTTTGCTGGATCAAGCCACAGATCCAGAGTCCCTCTACTGGGCTTGAAGAGCCATTGCATTTTGCTTCAGAAGAAATTTAATTCATGTTGATTAACTAGAAATACCCAAGAACATCAGCAGAGAAGAATCAAAGATTCCTATCCTACAAAAGGCAAAAACAACCCTAGATTAGAATCTTGGAGACAAAAATAATCTTCACGACAGTCTACATCCCACCTCACTGTTCTTCAGATGAAGAAACTAGGACCCAGGGAGAGGATACATTAGGTGCTGTGCAGAGACAAGAGCACAGAGTTCCATGGTTTAAGCTGATCACTATACTCTCTTTGGGGTCTAATTATTTTTTACCTTACTCCACCCTCTTTCCTTTAGCCAGTATTCCAGTCCTAGGGTTCCAGGCACAAATCATGATGGCAAGTATATCCTAGAAACAAAGTCAGACAAACAAATGCCATCTGGGTGCTCAGGAATCTAGCCATTTGCTGGCTCCTTTCCTTTCAGGGCTGCTTATAAGAGGAATGACTCCAGAGGGATAATATGTTCCTATTTTTCCTTCTAATCCAGGACACCTGTCCCTTCTTTAGGGAACGTGTAATATTTGGGGCTTCTCCTCAACATGTGACCAGCCACCTGTTGCTCTGCCTTTCTAAATTGGACTTTCAGATTTGGGCCAGCCAACTGGACCCCCTCACACAATAAAAATTGGGCATTAGCAATATGCTAAATTTGAAGAGTCTGGAGTTTCTGAGGAATTAACAGGTCAAGATAATGTTCTCCAGCAGAATAGATACCATGATACCTCCACCCCTCACCCAAATGTAATAGCTCTAATAGACTGTCATAAATAAGTCTTTGAAGAGAAAGAGGCTGGAGTTCACCATGGTCTGTCATTTCCTTTCACCCCCACTGCTACTCATTTATATAACAGATATTTACTGACCACCTGCTAAGTGTCACTCACTGCCAATCGTCCACTCATCTGTTCACCCCACGAACATGTATAGACTGCTGCTAAGAGCCAAGTCTCAGACTGGATGCTCTGGGGGATATAGCAATGAATAAAGCTCAGTCCCTGTCCAAAGGAGCTCTTAATTTAGTTGGGGTGATAAGCCCACAAGCTATTATGACTTAAGACTGTATGTGTGGACAGAGATGCAAAGAACTATGGATCACAGAGGAGAGAGAAGTCACCCCCAGCTGGCAGGTAAGAGAGTTTACAAGAAGATGGCATGGGAGACCTGGTCCTTGAGGAATGGGTACAATCTGGACACATGAAGTGTGTGGGTGGTCAAGTCAGTGTTCCAGCAGAGAGGTGCCAACAGGGAGCTGAGAAAGCCGAGTCCTCCTGGCTGGTGTGCAAGGGAACATATGCTGCCCAGGGACTAAATCCAGATGGGGGGTGGGGAGAGCATTCAGATGCTGGTAGGTTGGAAAGGTCTAAGCCTTTGCTATTTTCCTGACCCCACAGGCTCAGAGGTTTGGCATCCCATCTGCAAACAGGCAGCCCGGGCAGAGAAGAAGTTAAAGGTAAGTCAGAGAGTAATGATGCCGGGTTGCTATCTTTTGCTACAGGTAGGGAGAGCTGTGCTTTCATGCAGATTCCACATTCCTCCATGAGCACACTCCCAAATGTATGCCTGTATTCTTGGATGTTCTTAATGGTAACACCTGCCTTATGGGGGCTTTACGGAGATGAAGACATTAGATGTGAATGCACTTTGAAAACTGTGAGCTGTACATTCATTTGAGTTTCTAAGTTTCTGAGGCAAGGCTGGAACCTTACCATTGCTGATCAAGAGGGCAGCCTCTCTGAGGAGCTCAGCCATGTCCCTCTCTCCATGTCTAAAGTTATTTATTGATAGTAAACAAATCCATGCTTTTTCCCACAGAAAGTCATTAGAAAGAATATTTAAAAACAGTTTTTACCATTCTGTGCAGTATTCTCTGCAGGGTAAAGAGAGCCTCAAGCTCTAATTTTAGGTCTCCACCCTACTCTACTTACTATCTACTCTGGGTATATTTTATCTTGTATCTTATTTAGAAACACAAAGGTGGGATCCAGTCTGCCATTCATGTGTTTCTGTATTAACCCACAGGCCAGCCATTGTTTTGCTGCTTCTCTCTGGATGTTACCTTTCTGTCAACACTGCTGAGCTACTGACCAAGGGCATAAGTGCAGCAGACTCTGATTTCATAGGGGTATTCATGAACAAATCATCTTTGCTTATCTTCATTTAGCTAATGAATGCTAGCTACCAACAAATTCCTTTTTGAAACTCTTTTATTAAGGTGATAATACTGCCGGGGCTAGCAGTTACCACATGGCTGGCCACAGTTCAAGTCCTGAACTGGGCAGCTTGAAATTTATGCTGGGTGCATGTGCATGCCCAAAATCCCAGGAGGAGAAAAGATAGCAACATGGCCATCCTCCGGGGCGGGTGTGTGTGTGTGGGAGTGATCTCTCACTTTCCCTCTCACTATTTCTCTCTCTTTCTCTCTCTCTCTCTCTCAAACACACGTGCCCTATAGCAAAAACTTTAACGTTTTTAAAAAAAGATACTGCCAACTTCCAAACTTCTGAGTTTTTTTCATTTCTAATTATATTCTCTTTTGCTCTTTTGAGTCTCCCTTCTCATTTCTTACACTAATATGCTCTCCTATGTACAGAGTACAGAAGCTAATGGCCATTCTTGGCTCAGTTTTACTTCAGAACAGATTTGTCAATGTCACAGAGTCAAAAAGCAGGAGAGAACATCAAGTTTGGCCTCCTCACTTTTCAAATCATTTCCTCCCACAAGGATCTTTGCCCCCTTCACCTTGCCTGTGCCTCTTTTACTTAATCTCATGACTTTCTCAGACCTCTGAGTCCACCTCATCCATTTCCTACAGTGACCTGTAGCATGTGTTTCCTGCCAGGGCCACAGTCATAAACAACTCCTGGTAGATTCAGGAACAACTCAGAGAGGAACCGGAAATGCTCTCTCTAATAACTCTCCAAAGCAAGGCTCCTGACCCATAGCTTAGTAGTGGGAACACCCTATGTTTGCTGGATCAAGCCACAGATCCAGAGTCCCTCTACTGGGCTTGAAGAGCCATTGCATTTTGCTTCAGAAGAAATTTAATTCATGTTGATTAACTAGAAATACCCAAGAACATCAGCAGAGAAGAATCAAAGATTCCTATCCTACAAAAGGCAAAAACAACCCTAGATTAGAATCTTGGAGACAAAAATAATCTTCACGACAGTCTACATCCCACCTCACTGTTCTTCAGATGAAGAAACTAGGACCCAGGGAGAGGATACATTAGGTGCTGTGCAGAGACAAGAGCACAGAGTTCCATGGTTTAAGCTGATCACTATACTCTCTTTGGGGTCTAATTATTTTTTACCTTACTCCACCCTCTTTCCTTTAGCCAGTATTCCAGTCCTAGGGTTCCAGGCACAAATCATGATGGCAAGTATATCCTAGAAACAAAGTCAGACAAACAAATGCCATCTGGGTGCTCAGGAATCTAGCCATTTGCTGGCTCCTTTCCTTTCAGGGCTGCTTATAAGAGGAATGACTCCAGAGGGATAATATGTTCCTATTTTTCCTTCTAATCCAGGACACCTGTCCCTTCTTTAGGGAACGTGTAATATTTGGGGCTTCTCCTCAACATGTGACCAGCCACCTGTTGCTCTGCCTTTCTAAATTGGACTTTCAGATTTGGGCCAGCCAACTGGACCCCCTCACACAATAAAAATTGGGCATTAGCAATATGCTAAATTTGAAGAGTCTGGAGTTTCTGAGGAATTAACAGGTCAAGATAATGTTCTCCAGCAGAATAGATACCATGATACCTCCACCCCTCACCCAAATGTAATAGCTCTAATAGACTGTCATAAATAAGTCTTTGAAGAGAAAGAGGCTGGAGTTCACCATGGTCTGTCATTTCCTTTCACCCCCACTGCTACTCATTTATATAACAGATATTTACTGACCACCTGCTAAGTGTCACTCACTGCCAATCGTCCACTCATCTGTTCACCCCACGAACATGTATAGACTGCTGCTAAGAGCCAAGTCTCAGACTGGATGCTCTGGGGGATATAGCAATGAATAAAGCTCAGTCCCTGTCCAAAGGAGCTCTTAATTTAGTTGGGGTGATAAGCCCACAAGCTATTATGACTTAAGACTGTATGTGTGGACAGAGATGCAAAGAACTATGGATCACAGAGGAGAGAGAAGTCACCCCCAGCTGGCAGGTAAGAGAGTTTACAAGAAGATGGCATGGGAGACCTGGTCCTTGAGGAATGGGTACAATCTGGACACATGAAGTGTGTGGGTGGTCAAGTCAGTGTTCCAGCAGAGAGGTGCCAACAGGGAGCTGAGAAAGCCGAGTCCTCCTGGCTGGTGTGCAAGGGAACATATGCTGCCCAGGGACTAAATCCAGATGGGGGGTGGGGAGAGCATTCAGATGCTGGTAGGTTGGAAAGGTCTAAGCCTTTGCTATTTTCCTGACCCCACAGGCTCAGAGGTTTGGCATCCCATCTGCAAACAGGCAGCCCGGGCAGAGAAGAAGTTAAAGGTAAGTCAGAGAGTAATGATGCCGGGTTGCTATCTTTTGCTACAGGTAGGGAGAGCTGTGCTTTCATGCAGATTCCACATTCCTCCATGAGCACACTCCCAAATGTATGCCTGTATTCTTGGATGTTCTTAATGGTAACACCTGCCTTATGGGGGCTTTACGGAGATGAAGACATTAGATGTGAATGCACTTTGAAAACTGTGAGCTGTACATTCATTTGAGTTTCTAAGTTTCTGAGGCAAGGCTGGAACCTTACCATTGCTGATCAAGAGGGCAGCCTCTCTGAGGAGCTCAGCCATGTCCCTCTCTCCATGTCTAAAGTTATTTATTGATAGTAAAAGTTAATATTGTCACTGTAATTGACCATTTTCAAAACATCTACACAGCCACTGTCTAAACTTGATCTCTTTAACCCCATGAGGCAGATAGAATGAGAAATTTTATCTCGCCTTGCCTGTGAGAAAACCAAATCCAAACAAGGGTGGTGATTTCCCCACAGTAACAGCCCCAGATAGAAACACAGCCTGTGTCCCCAGGCACATACCAGATGGACTGAGGTTCTGCCTGCCTCTGAATTACTGTGCTCTGACAAATACCAGGTGATGTTGTGAATCTTCCACACTGCAGTGGAAATGGAGCTGCCTAGGCTGCAGGGAGGGACCCTGCTTCCAGGTTCTCAATGCTGAGAGAACCTGGGAAAGTGTTGAAGGGCAGGGCGTGGCATTCAATGTCTCCATTGTGCTTTTATGCCCTGACCCCCAGATCTCAACATGGCTCCCTATGACTCCACTGTTACCTGACACAGTCCCCTCAATGGAAAACACACATGCACAATTTCTGACCAGCTAGTTAAGTGTGTCTTCTTTGCCATCTCATCTGTTGAATGAAATTTTCGTGAGAGAGTTCATCTATTGATAGATAGATAGATAGATAAAAATTAAGCTATGAATTATTTTCTCTGTTTCTTCAAAGCTTTTCCCAGTTTAGGTGTAAGAAAGCCTAATTTTCCTTTTTGTCCTTAATTTCCACCTCTTTTTTCCTTCTATAGTCCTGGTGCTTTCTGCTGCATCTGTGTACCACATATATCATAATATTCTTAGTATTTTTCTTTAAATCAACTCACTTTAACTCAATTTACTTAACTTACTTTAAGATAAAGCTTCATATCACAAAGTGGAAACCAGTAATATTTGCTTTAAAAAGAAAATAATCTACAGAATAAATTCAATGACAATGAAATAATTCCTAAGAATAAGTCTAAAATGCTAACCAGATAATGTCGCCTGCACTTTCTTTGTTAAATAAGAGAAATTAGCAGTTGTTAAGAGATGTGTTGAAATGTATTAACCAAATTGAGCATTCATCCTCCATCTAATCAAGAGGATTGAAATAAAACGTTATTGTACATTTTACTCTTTCACTCTATGACTCAGTGCTTTAAATTGTAGGGTGAGAGATCTGGGAGGGAATTACGCAAACCTGAAGCTCAGCTCCTTCGTTTCACAGATCAGGAATCCAAGTTCCTTTAAATCATATATTCACTACTGGTCCTTGATTTCCAGTCCTTTTCTTTTTTCCTCTACAACATATGCCACTCTCCTAGATGCATGAAGATTGGCATCGCTGTGATTCTGCTAAGGGAGCTATGAATTAATCACTGTCACATCCAGAGACCGGGGTTAATGTCAGTTTCGATGGCTATGCTATAAAGAATTAGCAGGTTGTACAGTGACATCAAGTTTAACCTACTTTCACATCTGGAATAAATTAACTGCCACGGGATGAATACTAACTAATTTTATTCATTTAAAGTGACTATGCTCAGGACTAGTATAATCCAAAATGAAAAATTGTATGACTTTCTATTTGAAAGGCTAGCTGCAAACATATAGAAAATAAACCTATATTCTTTCCAACAGCCTGAAGTCCTGTGTAATCTAGATCTCATTCACTCTTTTTTTTTTGGAGAGGTTTTTGCTATAGGGCGCGTGCGCTCGCCAGACAGACAGAGAGAGAGACATAGAGACAGAAAGCGAGAAATCACCCCCCAGGGGGGATGGTCACGCCGCAATCCCTTCTCCTCCATTCTCCTCTCAGGATCTTGGGCACGCACGCACACGCGCCCGGCGTGAGTTCTAAGCCACTGGGTCCAGGACGCGAACCGTGGTCGACTACGTGGGAGTCCAGTGACATAGCCATTTCACTAACTGCTGGTTCCCTCATTCACTCTTGGACATTGACTAAAGTCAGAAAATAAAGAGACAGTATGGAAGTATACAGAAAGTACTTTAACAGTATTACCAATGTTCCCTGAAAAGGTGCATTCTTTTTTTTTTTTTTTGAGAGGTTTTTGCTATAGGGCGCATGCGCTCACCAGACAGAGAGAGAGAGAGACAGAGAGACAGAAAGCGAGAAATCACTCCCCAGGTGGGATGGCCACGCCGCAATCCCTTCTCCATTCTCCTCTCAGGATCTTGGGCACGCAAGCACATGTGCCCGGCGTGAGTTTAAGCCACTGGGTCCAGGACTTGAACCGCGGTCGACTATGTGGGAGTCCAGCAACATAGCCATTACGCTAACTGCTGGCCCCAAAAGGTGCATTCTTACGCCCCTGTCTCCCACTCTTCGCCAAGCCCAGGGAGCAGCTTCTCACCCCTTCTGTCTTCATCTCCCCTACAGCACAGACGGACGTCTGAAACTTCCATCTCACCCCCTGGATCCAGCATTGGGTCACCCAACCGAGTCATCTGCGTATGTATCACTATCCAGCCATTGATGAGCCTTTCTTATCCCCTGGCCTGGTATATAAGGCGTTTCTAAGGAAGAAGCAGCTGTCAAGTTCTCATCTGGCTGATATTCTGTGCATGCCTGTCATATGCTAGGCTCTGTGCCAGGTCCTGAGGATACAATAAGAACAGAAGGTCATAGACCCTACTCTCATGAAGCACACAGTCCAACGAACCCAGAGTTACAAGGATAATGCAGAATTTCACAGAGCACAAGAAGGAAATACAATGACAGCAAGAACCCTTGCTGAGTTCTGAAACCAGTGTCTCTTAGTCCACTGTGTTGCTAATAACAGAAATGCCTTTGTCTGAGTAATTTACAAAAATTGAGGTTTGTTTAACTCAGTTTTGGAAATCCAAAGCAAGGGACCACATCTAGTAATGGTCTTCTTTTTGGTGGAGATCTGAGGCAGTACAAAACATCACAAAGAGACAGAGCAACAGCGCATGTGTCTGTTTCTTTCTCGGTCCCTCTCCTTGCAAACCCACCAGAAGTCATGAGGGCCCCATCCTGATTACCTTAATCCTAACCTCCCAAAGGCCACAGCTCTTACTCCCATAATTAGGTGAAGTTATTTTTTTTTTCCCCTCTTAATCCCATCACAATGGCAACTAAATTTTAGCACATGAATTTTGAATAGGATACAATCAAACCACAGCACACTACACTGCCTGAGCTTCCATCTCCAGAGGCATTCAAACAGAGACTCGTCATCTTTCAGGGATGTGACAGAAGAAACAAGAGTCAAGTTAGATGACCTCAGAGGTCTCTTGTATGTATAATTCATTCATTTATTCATTCATTCATTCATTCATTCTTTCATTCTTTCATTCAACAAACGTGTGCTGAGTGTCTACTCTGTGCTAAGCACTGTGCTCTGTGCTGGGGAAATGGAGGCAAAACCACGTAGACTTGATGTCTGTCCTCAGGACATCTGAACATATAATGCCATGGATAATCAGTTGTAATCCTAAATGCCAGCAAGAAAAGTACAGAGGTCTCTGACGATGCTAGGGATAAACAGAGAGACCAACAGTCTAAAACAGACTGGGAGAAGGTATATGCAAGGAAGAAACATTTAAGCTCAAACCTGAGGGATACACAAAAGTAAGCTAAAGGCAGTGGAGAGGCAGAACCAGGGAGGACAGAAATGATCAACCAACCCTAAACTAACTGACTCAGTTGTTCCAGCCCTCCACAACTCAAAGGAGCCAAGAGGACCCTAAATGTGGACGGTTTCTGCAGCAGGAAACCCATTCCTTGTGAGAAGCTCCAGATACAGACCACAAACCAGCCAGCCTTGGGTGGGCTCTGATCACTGTTGCTAAATCATTACTCCAAGCCCACATTCAGTTTCCTCTTTGATAACTTGAATGATGTGATTGTTTTCTTTCCTTCTTTCCTTCCTCTGATCAAATGAAAAACAAAGACGTACACATTATCATTGACTGCAACTTCAATATGGGTCAATACTACCGTGTGACTGTTACAGAAGACAGGCTACTTTGATCACCAGCTGTACTCTCTGAAGATTGCTGTCCAGAATGAGAGATGATGGTCCCCCTGGCACTAGGAATGGGGTCACACCACAGCAGGATTAATGGACTTAGTTTCAGGGCCTGCACTGTGAGAAGGTTGTTGACACAATGAGCATGTCTCCAGAGGAGACACGAGAAGCTCAGGGAGCTACTGCACTGTAAGGCCGTTACTAGCTGGTATCCCTGTGCTCCTGAGGAGCCTCATTCACCTGAGTGAAATAATGACTATGTGGTGTTCACCTTGGAGTCCCAGAGAAAGCCTCCTAGAGTTGTCCCCTATGAGAAGCAACTACACGACATATGACAATGGTACCTGGAGAAACCAGAGCTCATGCCTCCTAGTTGGGTGCTTATACCTTGAAATCAGTGCCTTTCATACCTTAATGTAGTCACGTATCTTTCCTTCCACATTCTCTTGCTCTCTCCTTTTATGGCACTTCACATCCAGCTGTTCTGTGTAACGACTATACATATTATCGGTCATGTTTTAAGTCAGGTCATTCCAAACCTGGCTTCCAAAATTGGCACGAGAAAAAAAAAAAACACTTTGGAGCTGGAGATATGCAATAGCAGGCATAAAGAGTATTAGTTAAATTTGCACAGACACTTGAGATTTGGCAATAAAATAGAATTATCAGTGAACCTGGAGTAGGCAGGTTCTTTCAAACTTTAAAATTTTGTTCCAGCCCCCACTGTCTCCTAGAATAATTTTTAAATGGTTTAACTTGACCAGCTCACATGTTCTCTTCCTTCCTTCCTGGCTAATTATGTTAGGATGCTTCTAATCAATCAGTGCACCTTCAGACCAAGGCTCATTTACAGCCCTGCTATAAATGAGGTGGCTACAGGAAGAAATAAACATTTAATATTTCTGAGGTCTTGAGTAAAGTTTCAAGGTGAATAATTATGGGTCAAGACCAGTTTGAAAAATGCCAAGAGCTCTCAAGATCAAAATGTAACAAACCAAGAAAAGAGGCAGCATTTATTTCAACAAGTGGACTCACCTAATAATGTTCCTCTACCCACATACCCCCAAACTGGCACAGATGTGGGTGAATGTACCAGGCAGACTCTGGCAGAAATAGCTGGCACAGCTCAAAGAGTTCACCTAGGGAGGGTTTCATGAAAGGACATTTTCAGATATATTGGGGTGGTGGAGGTGGAGGTTAAGAGACCCACAAGAGATAGTGAGGTATCCGGAGATTACAAACACAGAACCTTGGTACCACCCAAGGCCTCAGGAGACAGGAGAGGGAATACGGTTAACAGAGCTGGTAAAAGCTGGAGCTGCGAAAGAGCAGCTGCCAGCTAGAAGCTGTACCCAACCCACAGTCAGGCAGGAGGTACATGCCAGCCTCTCTCTGGACTCATCCTCCCATCTCTGCTGCTGCCTCTCACCAGTGGTACCCAACTGAAAGCCAGAGAGCAAAAGAGCATGTGATATCACCCAGGGGGCACCAGGACACAGATCTTGGCAAGGAAAGATGGACAGCAGGCCTTAGGTCAATAGAAACTAAACAGCATGGTGCCCACACAGCACTGGAACAGGACAAGACTAGAATAACGGAAGGGCTTTGGGAGGATTTTAAATTAGCAAAGTGTATAAAGCATTTATAAATACTACTCTCTCTGAAGTAGTTTTGGCCCTGAGACTACCTGAGCCCTGTCGTGCTTAGAGAATGGCATAAGGGTAATTGTTCCCTTGAATTCTCTACCCAGTGTCCTTCCTTAATTTGCCTCTCCCCAGAACTTTGCAAACCACAGTAGTTACAAAAGAGACGGGTCCTTATTGACCATAGCAGAAGCCAGTCTCTGAGGAAGCAGCTGGAAGACATGGCCATGGAAAGGATGTGGTTTCAGGGGCCATGAGATATGGGCTGTCCTTGGCAAAGGGACGCTCTCTTTTAATCCATTTAACTCCAGAGGGCTGGATTCATACAAAGTCAAGTAGAAGGTAAAGGCTTGTCTCAGTTTGATGTAGGAACAGCTTTCTGAGTTGAACCTTCTGACAATACATCCCATCCCAGCAAGCCAGGAGAAGCCACTGGAGAGCGGAGGCTCTCAGGTGAGACTACAGGGGTTCAAATTCTAGATTTTGCTACTTCTTAACTATGCGACCTTGGGCAAATTAATTGGTTCTCTGTATGTCTGTTTTCTTACTCAAAATGAGGACAATATTAATAACTACTATCAGAAGTCTGAGTTGTCTGGATGACCCAAGTTAAACTATCTATTGTATGTAAGAGATTTGAGACAGCATGGCCCATGATAAGTGCTCATCTAATGTTAGCCAGCATTTGACTCTTAACGGTTATTTTTGTCTTTACCAAATTAATCTTCTCCTTCAAGATGCTATGAATTGAGATGTTCTCACTATATGGGGTTGGGAACACATTAGCTAATAAGTTGTGCAATCTTTTGTGCCTCAGCTTCCTCATCTAGAAAATGGGGATAATCCTGACACTTCACCGAGGCATTAAGACACTTAAAGAACATAATTCCTGTCAAACACAGGGCATTACAAACAATGCGTGCTCTATAAATGGAAGCCTGTTGTAATCTACGGCCTCAAAGACCGTTCTTACTTTAACCTTCTATGTTTCTTCAATTCAATCCCAGTATTTTGTTTACATTGGAAACTGGAGAAGTGTGTTCTTCCTTTACCTTGTTTTTTGTTTTCTCTCTCCTTTCCCTTTTCCTTCTTATCTTTCTACTTCTTTCCTATTTCCCTCTTCCCTAGGCTAAAGTGGATAATGAGATCCTTAATTACAAAGACCTGGCAGCTCTCCCCAAGGTTAAGTCCATCTACGAGGTACAACGCCCCGACCTCATTTCTTACGAGCCTCATTCCAGATACACATCTGATGAGATGTTGGAGCGATGTGGCTATGGAGAGGTATTGCGACTTGTCCTTCTCTCTGGAGCTATTGTAATCAAGAAGGTCCCACTGGGGTCCCCAGCCCACTCTATCACAGTTTGGCCTCCACCATATTGACCTCGGACTCTTTTAAACTGGAATTTATAGCCAACATTTAAAAAGCAAGAGAATTCATCCAAAAATCTTATTTTTTGGCCAGTCATGCACAATCAGGGCTGGCAACATTAAACCGTCCTTCCACCACCTGGAGAAGGGTAGCAGCCCTCCTCCCCCTCCCAGCTAGGACGCAGACTCCCCATCTCTTCAGTCCCATCACTCCTTGATAATTCCCAACACTGAAGACAAAAATCTGTGACCACTTATCAGTTGAGCTGTTGTTTACCTTTTAGTGGAATGTTTTTCTTATATCCAGCTCATGGTTCTCATTCTCTGCCAGGCTCAGTGGTCACTTAGCTTTCTTATCCCTGATTAGGCATGTTCTCTGATTTTTGCACTTGGCCCTAAAGCCCCTGTGCTCTGAGGAAGAGATGCTTTTATAAAGATTCAGCATCAGATGTTGTTCTTTTGTTGTCTTTTTTTTTTTTTTTCCTACAGAGATGTTTTTGTTATAGGACACAGAAAGACAGAGAGACAGAGAGAGACAGAGAGACAGAAAGCGAGAAATCACCTCCCAAGGGGATGGCCACACTGCAATCCCTTCTCCTCCGTTCTCCTCTCAGGATCTTGGGCACGCATGCACATGCACCCAGTATGAGTTTAGGCCACCAGGTCTAGGACACAAACTGCGGTCAACTACATAGGAGTCCAGCAACATAGCCATTATGCCAACTGCTGGTCCCATGCATCAGATGTTCCTTAAATCATTAAATGTTTGCTAGACAGAGAAAGTGTTCTCAGCGAGGCAGGGTAGCTGTTATATTGGAGGTCCTGGCAGTTGATATCCCAGGAGATTTCTAACCCTATCCAGGCCCCCTGAACTGAGATAATTTGGAGCAGGAGCCTTAGCCTGGTGAAAAGGGACCTAGGTTCTTGATCTAGCTCCACCATAACAACCCTTGTGACCTCAGCTAGTCCTCTTCCTCTCTAAAGGGGTTGGGATTCCGTTTGGTTGAAGAGCCCAGTGCAAGATTCTTTGGATTCTGGTCCCTGAAATGAACAAGGGAAAAGAGACCAAAATGTTTGACAGAAGCAGATTTTCCCAATGTTAGGGGTAACAATTTAGAACCCACAGGCCACACAGCAAGTCCTAGATTTGTTTTGTTTCATGCATGAAGTGTCTTTAAAATGTAAATTAGATGTCATCACGTAAATGCTGAGAGATTCCACACAAGAATTTGTATTTCTGGGAGCCAGTAGATAGTATAGTGGTTAAGAAGCTAGATTCTCACATGGCTGACCATGGTTCAAGTCCCAGGCCTGGTAGCTTTAAAAATCACACTGGGCACATGTGTGTGCATGCTTAAAATCCTGAGAGGAGAATGGAGAAGGGATTATAGTATGGTCATCTCCCCTGGGGGGTGATTTCTTGCTTTCTGTCTCTCTCTCTGGCCAGCGCATGCACCCTATAGCAAAAACCTCTCCCCCCA